TTATTGTGGACTGCTTAAATCCATTTCATTGAGGACTGCTTAAATTCGTTTTGTTGACCTCCATTTGGTTGTGCTACTTGCACTTTTATGATAAAAAAGAGAATAAAAGTACAAGTACCTGCACTTTTATCATGATAAAGAGAATAAAAGTACAAGGCAATAAACTAATTAACAAAATTGCTTTATTTTATCAAATGTGGAGAAAATAAATAAATATCATTAATTTATTATTATTCCAATTCAAATTCAAATTTTCATTGGCTATCATTAGTAACTTACCATCACCTCACCCACAAAAAGAAGGTAAAACGTGTAGTTCAAGACTAGAAGCAATATAATTAGCTAGATGATAATGAGACTGAGAATGTAATATTACAAAAGTTGTATTGCATGCTGCATAAAATATTTTCAATTTTTTGAGATATCAAAACAAATTAAGTTAATTCTATAAACTTTTGTATTTAAAAGTTCATTAAAACGTCAGCCATAGTCTACTTCCTCACCCTTTCTATCTCCATGTTTTTAATTATAAGATTGTAGAGTCATTTCTAAAACTCAATCATTGAAGTAATATATCAAACTATATAGTTAAATATTTGCAAAACACTACTGCTTACAAACAAAATGACCCAATTTTTGATGTGTGGCGACTTGACATGCAAACCCACTATAGTGCTTACTAATGTGAATTACATGAATCGGTGCTTGAACCAATTTTAATAATCTGTTTCACTTTAATCCCTTCTTTTTTATTAGGTTCTGTTTACAAACTTTGAACTTTCTAATCTATTAGTAATAATCTAATCTATACATTAAAGAAGTAGTACTATCTCATTTGAGACAATATGATGCACTACTTAGAAATGGCAGGGAGTTCTGCAGCTACTAACTTTCTAGGACGATTTTTATTGGGTTCCTGAGATATAATTCTGGTTTGTTCTAGAGGAAAGAGAGGTTCTTCAATCCACTTATGGGTACAGGGAAGAGTGAAACCAGTAAAACGAGCTTTGAGAAGCTGACCAATTTTATAGGTTTTAACACAAACTTTTTACCATTGACTTCGCTGAGTAGAATGAGGGATTTATGTGAAGTCAAAGGTTGAAGATTGGCATAGAAATCTTTGACTATCATCTCATGTGTGGGACCATCAGAGGTAATCAAATGAAGCCTCCTTGTTTTCTAAAGGGTTCTAAGAATCCATGTCGGGTGAAGTGCTCAACATCATCTATAAGACGACCGGGGTGAACAGAACGTTTAGCGAAGGCCCTAAATGCTTCAAAATTTCTGGTTATGATAGGGAAGTCAAAATTAGAAAAGGGAAGAGAAGAAGAGGTACTACTAGTGCGCTTGCGTTTTGGAACCATAGTTTAAGAGTTCTAAGGCGAAGAAAAAGGGATTAACATAAGGCCAAGACAAATGAAACAAATCCATTAATCGAGCCCATCGACCAGCATCCAACAATACATCAAATGCCGATACAATATAGTTCCATATACAACACAAATAGTCACAACCAAACAATAACAACAGTCACAATGATAATCAATAATCAGCAGGTATTGTAAATAATAAAAGTTGCAGCAAAGATACCAGGCAAAAATGGGTTTAACAAAGGAAGAAAAATCGTTTAAACAACTAAAAATAAAATAAAATGGCCAGCCCAGAACAGAGATCAGGCCAAAACAAATACTAATAAATAATTTCCAAGCAAAACTCTACTTTAATGTTACCCAAAAACAACAGCTTAAAATCAGTAGAACAAATGAATATTTCAGTTTTGAGAATAAAATTTTAATGGAATTGAAAAAAAAAAACCCAAAAAAGAATATTGGAGTTCCAATTTTTTGAGAGCACAACCTTAATGGCAATGAACCTTTGCTGCAGAAATTCATATTTAGATATAAAACAAATGTTAATATAAACTAAGTTCCAAGTAAGAATCAGCAAAACTCTACTTTAATGTTACCCAAAAACACAGCTTAAAAATCAAGTAGAACAAATGAATTTTTCAGTTTTTGGAATAAATTTTAAATGGAATTGAAAAAAAAAAACCCAAAAAAGGAAAAAAAGAATATTGGAGTTCCAATTTTTTGAGAGCACAACCTTAATGGCAATGAACCTTTGCTGCAGAAATTCATATTTAGATATAAAACAAATGTTAATATAAACTAAGTTCCAAGTAAGAATCATCTATAAATTCAGAAGAAAAATTTTAAGCAATAATAATGTCAAATATTTCATTAGTTGATTAATAATTAATAATATTAGAAATAAAGTCAAGTTCCTTCCTTCCATTTTTCATAAGGCCAAGACGTTGCTCTTCTCTTACCTTCCATTTGACAAGTATTATTATAAAATTAATAATAATAATAATAATAATAAATCGACTTTGGATATCTAGATATTCATTCATTCCTGCAATATAGAGCATAAAAATCAAGTTTCAAGAGTGTAAGAGAGCAAAAGACAACAAACTCAGGTTTAATTCATAAAATGCAAAAAAGGTAGGAAAAATACAGCAGCAATATAACTCAGATATGAATAAAGGAGAGAGTCTGAACTTTTTTTTAATCAACTTAAATAATCAAAAAACATTGATGTTAAAGAAAAACAAAAGAACTATCCACTAGAATAAAGACGAAAAAAGCAAAAAAAAATCTTCAGGAAGCTGACATGGCACTCTCCTGTTTCAGTATTCATTTTTTCTTTTTTTTTTTTTTAAATTTTCTTAGTTTTAATACGTATATCATTTATTTGTTCCTTTTCCCACAAATTTGTAAATTTTTATTACCATGACAATTTAAATAATTGTTAGAGATAATTATTATTTTAAAAAATAATTTGCAATTCCTAATTAATCGATAGTTTAGCAATCTTTCATAAAATTTAAAATTCTAAAACTTAAAATATATATATATATGAATTTTTAAAATTTTTCTTTTTTCTTCTGTATATATATATCAACTTATATTTTTTTCAAGTCTACCATTTTTTATTTTCTAAGTTTTGAAAAGTCTATATAGACAATGAAACCATATATACTAAATAACTTATAAATTATAAATAAATTAGAAACTAAAAGTATAATATACAATGGTCAATCTATTCAAATCAATTTGATGTAATTATTTGTTCCCAAAAAAAAAAAAAAAAAAACCTAGCCGCTTTCTCTTTTCTCCCCCAAACCTTTAAAATTTAAAAGTTCTCATTTATTCTTCCATGAAAAAAAAAAAAAAAAAAATACCTAGCCGCTTTCTCTTTCTCCCCCAAACCTAAAATTTAAAAGTTCTCATTTATTCTTCCATGGACGGCCGCCGATGAGCCCTCACTGGTGATCAGCGCTTTTTCTTTCCTTTTTTTGTTTATTTTTTTGAAAATAATCCTCAGTATACAGATCTGAGTTATTATCACCCAATTATTAGAATTTGTTGTAGCCCATATATGAAATTTTGTTCTCAGATCTAATTCTAAGTTATTGTTGTTACCACTATAGTAATTTTGTTCAACATCTTTTGTTTTGGATAGTTATACAGAAATAATACAGATTTCCGGTAAAAATTTGAAGGTAATCAGATCAGATCTGTAGAAAGATCATGAAGCTGGATAGTGACCATTAATAGCCACTAAGTGGAGCAAACAATCGCTGATGACACAAATATTAAGTTTTGTCAATTTGATCAGATACTTCAAATCAAAATTGTGGTTTTTAATTCTTTGTATAAATAGTTTATTATTAGACTTCCTATATAAAAATATAGAAACATATTGATATGTATCCCATATCCATATACAGTTTCCTTTTCATGAAATTTTTAATTTAATTTCCTTTAAAAAAAAAAAAAGTATATTATATAGTAAAAAAGCAACCCGGGCAGTAACCAAGTCTTTACCTAATTAAAGATAAAGCTATACCTGAAAAGGAGGCATAAAAGCAGAAACAGAGTGGAGAGAAACTCAAGCTATGTAGGAGAGATAGAGCGTCAAATCTTGGCTTGCTGAATTTCGATTAAAAATACATGGGTTTTCGAGTAGAAATTTGATTAGGTTTTAGAAAGGGAGAGAGAAGGCGTTGATGCGGCGAACGATTGAAGAAAGTGAGAACATGACAAGGGAAAGACAATTAATTTTTCTATAATGCACAATTTTTCTTTTTTTATCAATCAATCTCATGTAAATGTAAATAAAATGCCTATATCTGTATATCAGATCACTCTATAAATATTAATGAAAAAAATATGTACGGTAAGATCTTATTGTATTTTTTTGAGAGAGATAGGCTTCTTAGACAAATCTCGATTTGTGTATTAATTGTTATTATGGTAGAATGTGTGTTTTATGATTACCGCACTATTTGTTAACTATCAAAATTGAGAATTAAGAGTATTTAAGAATTAATCATGCTTTGAGTAATTTTACGGTATATATATATTAGAGTCAAGATCAATTCTACTAAAATAAGGATTATAAGAATCATACATTATTTGTTAATCTCAATATATATTTAAATATTATTATTTGGATATATTATTATATATATTATCATTTATTAAGGTTGTTTGAATTTGATTTTTTAAAAGCATTTGTTATATTCAGTCCCGCATCACTTAGAAGCTAATGGGGTCAAATGATTCCCATTCAATTTTTTTTGTCGAATATGTGTGTGTGATCCTATTAAATTTAACAATTTGACCCACTAAATTTGACAATGAATCATTAAACTATTTTTATCTCTTAATTTTTCTGTCATCTCTTTTTCAAAAAAAGAATTTAAAAGCATAATTAGGTTAGTTAACGAGATAGATAACCCTATCATTTAGTCTATAATATTATTTGGACCGATTGTATTTCTTAACAATAGTTAACAATGAAAAGAAAAAGTAAATTAGACAAATATTTTAGGACATTTAAAAATGAAAATATGGACAAACATTTTGGATGGTGGATGAAGTAGTTAACAACAGTGAAAAAGAGATTATTGAAGTTTGAGACAACATTTCATCTCCTGTAAATATTTTCAAAATAATAATAATAATAATACATACTGAATTTTGATTAATTGAATAACATCTTTACATAATTAGAGTACCTTCTCCAACCATATTAAACTGATCAACCACAACAGAAATCATCCCATTAACTACTTTATCACTCTCCACAACTACAACATTATTTGACACATTTGTCACTAAAAAAGCCATGAACCCTTTATTATTACTACTATAAAATGAGCACTGAAAATGACTTATCCTGTCAGGAAAAACCAAAACAGATGAAAAATCAGCTACCCATTTTCTGGTACCTCCATTACTTCCTGCACCCACAGTTAGCCTCCCAATGGTTGATCTCATCCCCATCCCATTAACATTGTTCTGGTTAACCACCACTTGGTCAACACTTTTAAATTCCCCATCTAATTTCACTATAGGAACCATTTTGTTTTTGTTCCCATTAAACATATTATTTATTATATTTAACCCAGAAATTTTCCCATTTATAGCTTTTAAAACCACATTTCCATCTCCTATAAAAAGCCCATTAGTAACATGGACTTGACTTGGGTCTTCCATTACTATAGAGTTATAATCTAAGTAACAATTATCAATTCTAGTTAATGAAGCATATAATTTTACTAAAATTCCAATTCCACCCCAATAAGTTGCTTTGTTATAACAATGTACTCCTGTGAGAATGTTAGCTTGACCTCTTAATAGAATACCAATAGCAGCTGAGAAAATTGCAACGTCAGTTATTGCATTGTCATTGCTAGCTAGATCGATGGCCGTGCCGGAGAAATCTCTCTCACCTGTATCTCCACCAACTGTGGAATGTTGCCCTAAGAAGCAATTTGATATGAAGGTCTCATGCCCTTTTTGGACTAGAATTCCTTGTGTTGTGAAGTGTAAAAAGAAGCAATTGTTTATGCGAATTCGAGCTGAATCTGTAATGAAAATTCCTCCACCTTTATAGTTCAAATCGAATAGAATGTCTCTGAAAGTTATGTCCTCGTAATAGATTATGTTGGTTAGGTCTTTAGCATCATAAAAACCTTGAAGTTGAGTTGAATGTTTTTGATCAAGTACCTTAGAATTTGTTGACCATAGTTGGATCAGATGCTGATCATTAGGAAATGTGTCTGATGCTCGTATTGTTCCTCCTTTGACCTAATCCAATTGAGCATAGAGTTCAATAAATTAAAATTCAATTTCAAATTTTATGCACAAATTTTAAATTGGGTCTGATTAAGAAATCATATATATAAGCAGTGAGTTTGCATTTTGTTCAATCACAGAGAATGCCAAATGTAATGATGTAAGGCATAGGCAAGCAAGAATCCTACATTTACTGGTCTGAGAACTTGAACTCAAAGGGTCTGTTCAGTAAAATTAATTATTTTAATGACGTTTAGCTATTTGAATAACTTTTCATAAAAAGCTAAAATGTTAAACATTACAAGAATTAAAATTTTATAAAACGCTACTTTAACTTTTAAAAGCTAATTTAGACGCTATGTTACTAAATATTATAAAAAATAGTATTTAAACTAATTAAAAAATTGTTGCCGAATATAGACAAAGTCTTGTTACAAACGTAAACTATAAAACATAAAACCTCATTTTCTTTTTCATTTATCCTAAATTGTAGTCTCATTTCTACAAAACCAATTAGCTTATTCTAGGAACTCCGCCAACTAATTAAGATAAACCAATGTCAAAAAAAAAAATTAAGATAAATAAATTTTATATTTGTAAATTAGGAAAAATTATAAAAGTCTATTGGAAAAAAAATTAAAAAACGAAGCAAAAAGTTATGATATTATATAGCAAAAAGTTATGAATATTATATATATATATATATACTGATATAATTGTGTGTTGTGTGTGTGTGTGTGTGAAAGTCAAATTAAAAACCAATTTTTATCATATATGTGTGTGTGTGTGTGTGTGTGTGTGAAAGTCAAATTAAACCAATTTTTATCATATAAATGTTGTAATGGCTAATTTGTTTCATTTATTTTCACATTAAAAGTCAACCACTCCGTTAAGGACGGTAATTTATGGAATTTGTTGAAGCTTCTGGACAGGAGTTGTTGAAGCATACAGGCTATATTTGGAACTTGGAACAGTGATTTCAATTAAGAGATTGAGATTTTGACAGTAATTACTAATACCTAAAATAGGTAACAAGTCAGAAATTTACGGTTCCGAGCAGAGCAGAAGTCAATGCATGGAAGGGAGAGATAGAGAGATCACACAGCACAAAACGACAAAATAAGACAGACCCACACGCATTATGTACACTTACGCACAAAGTGACCTCAAAATGTTCAAGTGTCTTTACCCTTATATATATATATATATATATTTGTATAATAGACTTTGCAGGTTATGCCAAAAATAAAGTAAACGACGGAGCTGAAATACATAAATTCAACTTTCAATTTTATAATTTTAATTTTTGGCACCTTAAATTTTACAGATTATTTATTATGTAGTTAAATATATAAATTTTATTAATATTATATATTTTTTGATATTAATATCAATAATTTTTTGAGTTTTTTATTTTTATCTGTAAAATATTAAATTGATATGTATTTAGCACGAGTTTTAAAATAATAATTTTTATAAATTGTAATTTTTAATTAAGTGTTTAATTGACTTAATTTTACAAGATGAAGTATTTAATAAAATAATTTTAAAAATTAAAATGTTTAATAAGTTTAATTTAATAAGTTGAAATGTTTAATGAATCAAATTAAAAATTAAAATTGTTACAAAATTAAAGTAATAAAATTCGGTATTCAATTTATATATTCAGGCAAAATGAAGCAAAATTTTGTAGAGATATATAGAAGGTGAGTGACTGACCACAACATTGCCTCCACCAGAAGCAGGAAACCTGATAGGCTTGCTGATTTTATAGTTGCCACCTTGCAAATCAATCACAACACCACCCAAGTCATTCACACCATGCACCAACTCATTTCCATTTTGCACTTGAAACGCATCGTTTAATGCCTTTAGGATGGCATCACTGCTCTCTTGTGCCCCAGTTGGGTCTGCTCCATATCCAATTGGATAAAACACTCTCCCATTCTTTAACAAAAGAAAGATCGAACCCATTAAAAACAATAAACAATATTAATTTATGTAAAGTAAAAACTTTTTTATGTAATATTTTGTATTTTTAGAATTGAAAGTAAATACATTCTTCATTTCTTCAAGAAAACAAAAACCCATCAAATATATAAAGAAAAAAAAAATTTTGTTCGAATCTGTTGGAATGACTAATGAATTATACCTGTTTGGTTTCTGGAACTTGAATGTCCCTAGACGGGGTAGCTACTATTTCTTGAAGCTTTGCTTCCATTTCTTTTCTCTTCTGTTGTCTCATAAAAGAAAAAGAAGACGTTTCTTGAACTAACACTAGTAAAAGAACGCCCATCACAAGAAAAATTCTCAAAATTTTCATTTGCATTATGCTTTTGTGGTTCTAAAAATTTCTAATGTTTAAGCTATTCTTTAAAGAATGGTAGATAATTAGTAGCTACTGGGCGAGTATCAGCCTTGATAATAGCGATCTTTATAAAGAAAATACAGGCACATGACTGTATAGCAGAAATTGAACGCAACAGTATAAAGAACTAAAGATGGAAGGAATTTTCAAAAGGAAAGTGAAAGGAAAAGGAAGGAAAAGAAAAGAAATGGAAACAAATTAATAAAATAAAAGAAAGAGGGAAAGCTATATTTGAAAAAGGAAATGCAGATGCTAGAACAGCTTGATCTGGATGTAAAGTGGTATAATGGGATTTTCGTGGTTCTTTTTCTACTACTTTTTATTAATTTCCATTTACTTTGTAAGTTGTTCCCGAATTTTAATAAATGAAATAGAGTTAGCTGATCAAAGAGGCAATTATTGAGGTAGCTGAGGAAATATAATTAATGTCCTTGTATAAATCGATGTGGCTTTCACATTTGATTGTAATATGTCCAACTTTTACACGATGCGACCCCTGGCCCCTCAGTCCGCATCTGATTCTAATTTCTAAATTTTTGAATTTAATTTAAAAAAAAATATAGCTTTTTATTGTTTTAATATTTTTTCAATCTATATATATAAATATATATGAAAGCCGAAACAAATCATTCTCTTTATTCAACATTCTATTTTTCTTGTTTTAGAAAATTGTAAATTTTTCTTTATATTTCTGTATTTTGATTGGCCAGTTTTTTAATTTAATATATAATATTGAATTGATAATTGATAATTGATAATTTTTTTTAAACCTAATATAATCTAATCATCTAACCTACCTAAACAAACTAAAACACGTCGAAGGGTGGATACGTTGAAGAGGATTCACTTCATTATAAGGAATGGAGATCAGACTGACAACGCAAGTTGGAACTAGAAGGGAGTGGAAGAAATTAACACTAAAAATATAATTCGCAACACTGATAGAACAATGAGCAACATTGAATCTTCCCCCGAGGAATTCAATATGTTTAGGCGGTTCATGAGCCATCTCTGAATGCGAGAACGATGGCTGGAAGCACTGGAGTATCCATTTGCAGTTCTTCTAGAGGCAATAACAATGTTATAAAAAAACTTTATCATTCTCTTCCTTGATTAATTAATTTCGGTATATAAAGGTAGATGTTGTTTTAATTAGGGGTTTTACATTTTGCAGGATACAAGATAATTTATAAAAGTAATGGGATGTTTTAATTTTCCAATTATTTATCTAATATCTAGCTTTGTTTTTCCTTTTGTACTTTCTGTTGTTGTTTGTGTTTTGTCATGTCAACTCAAAATTCTGACCAGATTTGGCTTTGATTGCTTGGATGACATAGTGATAGTGGAACTAATTATAAAAGATTTATTGCACAGGGGAGGACTTCAGTTGCCTTTAATTCTCTTTCTTATAGTAATAGAGTTTGAATTCCCTTTGGTTTTTTGCGGTTTGCTAAAAGAATGCAGGAATGTAATTTTAATGGTACATGGTTTTGGATCGTGTGTGTATGCATAAATAGATTTTTGAGGATTTTTTTTTTATTATTATTTTTACTATCAAAAGTGGATAAAATAATTTAACATGTTTAAGCCAAATCATTTGCTATTTATACTTTTTCTATTTAGTTTCTACTGCATTGGTTAATTGATCGGTAAAGCAAGGTGGTATGATTGTGTTTTGACACACACACACACACGTATAATTGATCGGTAAAAAGCCAAGGTGGTATGATTGTGTTTTGACACAAAACACAACACGTATATATATATATATATATTTATATTATATATATTATATATATTTATATATATATATATATATATATATATATATATATATATATTTGTTAATTATTTGATAATCAACATGAAAATATGAATACCTAATAGTACTAAGTTATATATTTGTTAATTATTTGATATCAACATGAAATATGAATACCTATAGTACTAAGTATAAGCATTTAAATGCAAAATAACTCTAAATCAAATTAGTGTACATAATTTTTTCTAGAAAAAAATTTACATGATTTCATAAATAGTATATTTCATATATGTATAAATAGCCATGCACGAAGCGCAGATCAATGACTAGTTAAAACTATAAATAAGTATAAATTTAAAAATCTATAGCATATGCTAATCAAACGGTATTTGGTTAGATCATCTCATTTATGTGAGAAGTGGAATCTCTCGAATTTGAATTCTCTCGACCATAATTATTTTCAGTAAACCAATTGGAGGATTGCCTCTATTGTGTAGACTGTAGTAGTATTTCAGCTCATTGAGCTTCTAATGAATTAAAAAAAAAAAAACTCTATAAAATATATTAAAACTTCAATCAAAGTAACCCTCTCTTTCATAATTTGCACATGGCTTTCAACTTCTTTTAGAAAACTCAACTTAGGGGTATAAATGAGTCGAGCAGAACTCGAACCTGCTAGGCTCAAAGTTTAGCTCGATACAATTTAGCTTAGCTCGAAAATCAATAAGCCTGAAAATTTTAGGCTCAAGCTCAACTTGAGCCTCGAGTTCAACTTAGAAAATTTTAAGCTGAAGCTTGAGTAGTTTAACATAATATTATATATATGTATATATAAAAGCTCTGATAAGGAGCTTTCAAGTTAAACATTATTAGGCCTGAACTCGACTTATTTGCTAAATGAGCAGGCTCGAGCTCGATTCGAGCTAAGATTTTTCGAACTCTTTTCGAGCCGAGCTCTAATAGTTTACGAGTTAACTCGAATCATTTACACGTCTAGCTCCACCATTTAAATTATAAAAAATTATAAATATGTCCCCATATTATATTGAAATTAATTACTTTGTCTGCATAATTTTTAAAATACATTATTTTGTCCCTGTCACATCCATATTTTCTAAACATGTCATTAACATGCAATAAATCATTTTGAGTATAATTACATATTATTATGATTTAATTATGGTTTTGGCGAATTACAGAGCTATAAGGGTATCTTAGTAATTTGTCATGTGTAGAGACTGTGTTTTGATAAAACAGTGCAATTTATGCTGGACAATCAGAATTTATATTATACATGTGTGTAGTGTCAAATTTTAGCCATCCGATTGAAAAAGACCAAATTAAATATACACTATTCTATAATAAAGACAAATGTGCACCTATGCATTATTTACCCAATGGTTTAAGACCAAATTTTATGCTTTAACTACCGTCCAAAGACCAAAAGATATTATTTTAAAAAGATTCCTTATCCCAAATCCTACAGTTAATAATCTTGTATGCAACCTATTATCCTATGGTCTTAAACTAATGCATTCAATTAACCAAAAGACAAAACAAAACCACTCATTTTGTTGCAGTCCCAAAATCAACGGACCACTCTTCTCCTCTTTCTATCTCTCTCTTTTCTTTCTTTTTCTTCTTCTTTCTTTCTCCTCTTTCTTCTCTTCATCACCATAACCGAACCGCCTCCTTCTCCCTGCTCAAACACTTATGTTTCTTCACCAAAATAAGATATTATGGAGAATTAAAGGCATATACCACGCTTTTGAAGTTTATTTTGTAAGATCGAACATTTAAGAGTAAGATTTTTAAACATTTTTATTTCTTTGTCTTTTTTCTCTCTTCAAACCCTTGTATAATTTCATTCTCCATGGCTAGTCTTGCATAAAACATGTCATTTGCATATAGCATAAAAAATATTTCATTTTCATTTTTATTTTAAAGCTCCTCATTTTTCCTTGATTTAGAGGGAGAGACCTCCAAATCCAAGGGAAAGGAGCAAATTGGAGCATAAAAAGATTGAGGTTTGTGATTATTTTCCTTATTTTAGATATTCTAGGAATTTATGTTTGATTTCTTTGTTTACATGCTTCAAGACTTAACTTTTGAGTTATAAATAAGTTGATCTATGCTTTAAATGTTCAATATTTGTAAATATGTGCATTGTGTAAATTTTTAGTGCATGAGTGTTGATATGGCCGAACCTAATAATGATTTTTTTCTTAAAAATTTATGTTAGTTTTTAGTGATTTTATGCTTAAATCTACATGTATGAATGTTGTAGAAGCTAAATATGGATTTTTTTTTTTGAAATTTAAATATTGCTAAACCTTATGGTATTATTTTTATGATGTTTAAATATTATTTTGTGCATGTGATATGTAAATATTATAATGAGATGTTAAAGATAATAAAAGGATAATTTTAATAAATTATTGGACTTGATATGTAAAAGTTATATGGGGATAGAATTTATTTTGGATACCAAATAATATTTCATGACTCATGGACTTATTAGGACATGTTCCAAGGACTATGGAGAAATTTCCCTACGCTTAAGGATGATTTGGACAAAAAGAGAACTTTAAGGACCATTATGACATTTTGTAAGGATCCAAATGCAATTTGCATTAATTATGAACTAAAGAACAATTTGGGACTTAATTAAGGACCATCATTATAAATTGGACCGTTAAAAGGGATTAATTGTGGACTAGGTATAATTTAATATACCATTAGTCTATTTATTCCAAGTGGGATCCATTTATAATTGTTAAGGACTCCCAAGGGCCAAATTGTAATTTAGACTTAATTAAGTTGATGATTCATTAGGATTAGTGATAGTTTAGTAGTAGTAATAAATTAATTGGTTACTAGCAATTTAATTAAGCGGATAGGTAGTTGATCGGTGACATCTAGCTTAATTAGGTACTTAATTGGTAAATAATAGAAATAATAAAATAATAGGATTTTATGACTACTACATCAATTAGGTAGCTAATTAGTATAATTTAAGAAGCTAAAGAAATATTGGGTTTAAAAATCCTCTTAGATCCACTTAAGTCTCAATTATGAGTACAGTAGAAATAACAGAAATATGAATTAATAAAATGGTGATATACTATGTTAAAAATTAGTGCATTGGGAATTGTGTTATGGTCTTGGAAATTGTGCCTACTAGTGAATTACGAATGACTATGTGAAAATATGCTATGCTTATGAATTTAATTGGATGACATGAATTTATGTGCCATTGAAAATATGCTATGCTTATGAATTTAATTGGATGACATGAATTTATGTGCCATGGTAGAATATTTTAAGAGATAAAATATTTTTTATGAATATATGTTATGGATTTATGCAATTATATAAGAATTATGATTAATTAAGTACGATTATTTGATTTTTGAGTTATTTATGAAAATGAATTTATGATAGAATTTTTAGTATGGAAAAAAATGATTTTTGTGAATAAAAAAAATTTATGAAAGAGAATATTTTTCGGACTGTAATAAAATATTTCAGTGTAATTATGAGACCGAACATTTTATTTATGACAACTGATATGTATGAATTATGAAATGAATTAATTACAATTAATATCTTATCGGTCTTGGTCTACTTGGTTGAATCAGTAGTTGTATAGAGGTATGACATGTGATAGGAATACAGTATTGTCTACATGTGACACGCAGTATCTTATAGGGGCTAACGAATCCCATTTTATCTAACGAATCCCCATTTTATGCAGCTAGAACAAATTCCGAAAATGTTTAAAAGGGGCATAACAAACCCCAATTTTTTGGAATATTAACCATTTGATTTCGACTGACGGGTCATATGATATTTATATGCGGCTTTCGGCCGTAAGTTTATAAAGGAATTCTCTATTCTGCTATTTGATTCTTCTAATGTATGCTAAAAAGGCCTAAATAAAAAAACCCGTAGTTTTCCATAATTAATTAAATAAATATTATGTTGTTTTTTATGAAGAATATGCTGATTCTTCTAAGTATGCTAAAGGCCTAATAAAAAACGTAGTTTTCATAAATTAATTAAATAAATAATTATGTTGTTTTTATGAACATATGCTGATTTATGTGATATCATGATTAAGTATGTCTAATTTAGTAATACATGATTATTGGATTTAATTAAGCATACTGACTATAAATATTTGTATTATGCGTGTGAAATATGATATAGCATGATTATGATAAAATGTTGTGTATGATAATATGTGATATTATGATTGCTTATGTGTATTTCCCTGCTATAAATGGGAAATGAGCACCACTAAACTTTATGCTTAGCGCGTTGACTTGTCACGCGTAGGTTGCTAATTCGGGATAGGTGATCCATAGCAACATCAGACTATTTAGAAGCCCCTTTATTCTACGACAGTCAGTTTGTAAACAATTTCTCTTTTATTTCAGTCTTCAGGAAAAATCTAGGGGCATGTAAATATAATTAAGACACTAGAATTTTTTTATTTAAGTCAAAATGTTATGAACTAAATATTTGGAACAACAGTTTCAGAGTCAGAATATTTTATGGCATGTAATGAATATCTTAAATGCTTTCAAATAAAAGGAACTGATTTATTTTTGTGTTGAGTTTTTATGAGATGTGTTGGATGATGGGTTGCAAATGTGGAGTTTGTTTTGGAAAAATAAATTTGAGAATGTAGTTGTGTTGTGGACAGATTACAAAAGTGTTTTAAATATTTTTCTGTATTTTTGTGATACTGAATATATAGGAAAAAATCTTGCATTTTTTCTGTAGGATTTCTCTGAAAATTTTTCTAAGTCATTTTTATAAAACTAAAAGAAACGTTTTTAAACTGTTCAGTATTAAGCATGCTAGTTTAATACTTCGGTGTTAAACCTAATGTGGCTCTTAAGATCTTGTTTTATGAAATCGGATTTTGGGTGTCATATTTAGTGGTATCAGAGTATTAGGTTAATTGATTCTAGGATTTAACTTGTTTTAAGATATAATAAGAGTCTAATTAATTTACATGCCCTAAGAGACTATTAAGGAATATTCCTCTGATGTTGTATCTTGTGGATCTTTATGGTTGTAGGCTCATTGGGTTAGGATGTCTGTGTCAGGCTCCTAAGACACTGTGGACGAGGAGGCAGAGAGCTATGATCCACCCATTCCTCCTGTTGCACATGTTGCTACTGTTCCTATTGGTTCGACTGATCGCCGTGCTCCCAGATATGGTTAGGATGCATTCCTCCAACAGATGGCTGACATACTGAGGCAGGCTGTTGGTGCAGCTCCTCCAGTTTATGTTCCTGCTCCCAAGCCACCGATTGAGAGGTTGAGGAAATATGGGGTTGTCGAGTTCAAAAGCCGAAAGTCAAATGATGCGTCTGTTGCAGGGTACTGGTTAGAGAGTACTGAGCGAATCTTCAAGCAAATGTAGTGTATTCCTGCTGATTGCCTGATATGTGGAGTATCTTTGCATAAGGAGGAAGCGTACCAATGGTGGGATACAGTTTCCCAATCTGTTGATGTCCATAGAAGGACATGAGACTTCTTTCTATCTGAGTTCAGGAAGAAGTATGTTGGAGATTTATATGTGGAGCAGAGGAAGACTGAGTTCATGGAGCTTCGACAGGGTAGGATGACTGTTTCAGAGTATGAGAGAGAATTTGTCAGACTGAGTAGGTATGCTAGAGAGTTGGTGTCCTATGAGGAGGAGAGTTGCAAGAAGTTTAGGAAAGGCTTGCACGACGTTTGAGGATGCATTTGGTAGCTCACCATCACACTGAGTTTTCTACTCTAGTATTTGCTACACTGGAACTCGAGGAGGTTAGGACTGACCAGCAAAATAGGAGATCTAGATCCCAGTAGTTCAAGAGACCTCAGAGTCAGTCAGGTAGTTGATTTCATAGCCAATTGGAGGATAAGATGCAGAGGTCACTTCAGCCATTAGGGTGTAGCCCGACAGAGGTCACGGATATGAAACTTCATCTTTTAGATCTGCTGTGCAATCGACTTCTGTAGCCAGTACCGGAGGGTCTGGTCGGAGTGAGTATCCTACATGTGCCCATTGTGGTAAGAGACATACAGGTGAGTGTCGTAGAGTCACAGGTGCTTGTTTCAAATATGGTTCTATAGATAATCTATTCAGAGATTGTCCAATGGACTCTACTACCACAGTTCTGCCTCGGTCAGAGAGGTATGCTCCAGCTGCATCTAGAGGCAGAGGTGGAGGTCGTACAAACTCAGTGGGTACAGTTGGGCAGAGATTATCAAATTAAATTGATGGAATTAATAATGTATTTAGAAAATTAATTTATTAAACTAATTTAATTAGATTTATTTGTAACTTTTTTTTTGAAAAATATAATTCATTAATTATAATATCAAACATCATAAATAAATCAAATATTATAATTTTATTTAGAATAAACTCTCACAAAGAAAGGACAAAAAACTCCAAATATGGAGACAACAACAATAAAAATCAAAATAGATATGCTACAGGGTAATAAATCTGAGTTTATTAAGAGATTAAAAGAGAGAGAGTATCAGTTGAATCCAAGAAAGAATAGAAGGTATTGTCCACCACTGATCAATATCAGTAACCCCAAACTAAATTAGGATTAGACAATTAGAAAACGACAGCCTCAAACTAAAATTAGGATTAGACAATAAGAGAAAAAAGGGAGAGAGTTTGAATTGATTGTTACTTTGTTTCTAACAATTTGAATGTGAGTGCAGGCGTGCATAGGTGAAAATATCTATCAAATTTAGTAGAAAAATTTTCAATTATATATTTATATAATTATACCAAATGCATAAATATTATTATTTAAGTTATATAATAACAAACAATGTTGATATTTTCAAACTTTAGGATTATTAATTACTAGTATTGATACGTTCAAACTTCAAACTTGCTTTTAAAATCAAAGATTAATCTCAAATATCTTTGAATCACAGTGAGATTTGAATTCAAGATTGAAAGTGCAACTATTATTTCATGGAAACTTGTTAATAGTGTACCTATAGGTTGTGACTTGGTTGGCAATGCAGTTCGGACACGTGGAAAGAGCCTCGGGTTCGATTTTCACTAAACACACCTGTAGGGAGAGGTGAAGAGTCTTAATTGTGACTAACCCCTTAATTTTTAAGTCAAGTCGGTATATCGATAGATGTAATGGTCTACGTGTACATATATAGAGACAAAGCCTAAAGGAAACAAAATATATATCTTATTTTTGTTTTGTTTTGTTTTTCTTTCTTCAGGACACCAAATTAGTCCTGTTTTAAATTCCACTATACTTTCAACAAATTACAGCTGGAGCTTCCAATCAATATACACAGCTTCAACTAGTTTGTCCTTGATTCACCGTGACGAAAACCCTAGCCTCTACATCAACATCCGACTCGATTACAACCCGATTTTCCGATACATTTCTTAAAGCATAATTAGGAAAAGAGTTTCCAATTGCACGAAATGAATACTGAACATGATTAATTAGATCAGGAAATAATAGAACTGGACTAAAATCAACGGTCCATGATGTCCCATTCCCTTGCACACTTTCTCTAGCAACCGTAGCCCTTAAATTCATACCCCTGACATTATTCCTATCCACAATAACTTGATCAATGTCCTTAAAAGAACCATTTGATTCATCCAATTGAACAATATCGATTCCCTTATTATTCCCTGAAAATGTATTATCGACAACGGTGACCCCTTTCGCTACTCCATTTATTGATTTTAGGACAATAAATCCATCTCCGAGAAAAAAACTATTAGTAATTGTTAGTTGGACAGGGTCTTCAGCAATAATTCCATTATAATCCAAATAACAATTAACAATTCTGGTTTGTGTCAAGTTAGGCAATTTTAAATAAATTCCTGTACCACCAAATCCTGTAGCTTTGTTATAACAATGTACCCCAGACAATGTGTTGCCTGGACCTGAAACCATTATTCCTATTGCAGCTGAAAAGATAACAACATCGGTCACCGCATTGTCGTTACCCATCAAATTTATTCCAGTGCCTGAGAAATTCCGTTCACCTGGATCGCCTCCGGCGGTGATGTGCTGGCCGAGAAATGAATTTCTGATATAGGTTTCATGACCCCTTTGGACTAAAATTCCATTAGTGTTGAAATGTGTAATGTAACAATTGTCTATGGTTGTTCTAAGTGAATTAATAACTGAAATGCCTCCGCCTCTAAAATTGCAATCTAGCATTAGGTCCTTGAGAGTTATGTACTCATAATTATAGGAGGAAGAAGAGGATGTTGTGGAAGATAAATCTATAAGATACCCATCTGTCGGAAAATCATCCGAGGCTAGCAATGTGCCTCCACTAATCTGTTTAATCAAAATAAAAAATAAAAAAAAAAGAAAAAAGTCAGCTATTTTGTATTTGAAATTCATATAATACGAAGAAAAATTAGTGAATTTTTGAAATTTCCACAGAAATTACATGTAATTTCATGGATTATTTTTGCCGGAATCTACTAAAAACGGAAATTAAAGTCATTTACAAATGTCAAAAACTATTCTTTTAAAATATCGATTCGAGTTTTTTATCTCATATGGTCTGTATAAATACTTTAAAAGGTTTTTATAGTCTATTAACTCATCTAGTTTCAACACTAAATTTTTAAATTTGTTTGAATTTCTGTAGTTTGGACCTTTAAAAACGAATTTTTGAAAGAATTTATTTAACATGGACCTTAGATTTCTTTTTTTTTTTTTTTTTTTTTTTTTTTTTTTTTTTTTTTTCTTTTTTTTTTGAAAACGATGGCTTGATTGTGTCTCTGGGTTTTTTGAGAACTAGTTGGCTTTTTATATGGTCTATTATCTTTTATTATATATTTTATTTATCTTTAATAAGAAAAAGTTAGTAAATGAACTGCAACTAGCTAGTCATCTAAACATTTTCTAACTTCAATAATTAGATTAGAAAAAACCGTTTGCTAATATTTCATTTTTTTTTTTTTTTTTTTCTTTCTTTTTTAAGGGAAAACGTGGACCTTAGATTGAATAGTCACAATCTGGGTTTCTATTAGACTAGTTGGCTATCTATTTGGCCACTTTTCAAATTACTTAATATAGAAAAAGTTAGTATGAACTGCACTAGCTAGTCATCTAAACATTTTCTAACTTCATAATTAGAATTAGAAAAAACGTTCTAATATTTCAAAATTGCAATTTTAGTCCACATAGGTACATATCGAGAAGTCTGTCCTGCCACGTGTATATGCAAAATTTTTCTTATTTGTTAGAAACTGAGATTACATAATTTTTTCCATTGAAGAATCTTAAGTATTAAATTTTCTTTTTTTTTTTTTTTTTACTTAAAAAAATTTACATGTTGAGAATTTTTCCGTCTTAATTTTTAAAAATCAAATTATAGCAATTTATTTCCATTAAAAGTTCAGATGTACCAAAAAGAAAACTACCTGTACGAGTTCAAGTGATGGCAGTTGGTAGTTTGGTAGATGGATACATTTTTAAAAAATTACAAGAGTAGAATATATTTTGTATATACATATATATATATATATAGGAATCAATGGAGAGCGTACCATAAGATTTCCTGCTCCAGCAGCAGGCAATTGCAGAGGTTTAGAAATCCTGTAAATCCCTCCTTCAAGATTAATACGCGCACCTCCAAGATTTATGATTCCATTCATTAACAAAAAATCTTTAGAACCACTTTGAAAAGCAGCTGCTATTGCTTTTCCAAGTGCGTCTGTGCTGTCCATTTTCCCACTTGGATCTGCTCCGTACGATGTAATCTGATATACTCTTGCCTGGTCCACCTGTCCCACCACCAAGAAACCAAGAATCAAGATTTGTATGAAAAGCAAGAACTATCCAAAAAGAACAAGATTAAATGCATAATTATCATAAAAAGGTTTCAAGCAAAAAGAAAGTTTCAAGATTAAAAAAAAAATGTAAAGTTTATGTATTATATACCTGTGGTGATGGAACTGGAGCAGAAATAGTAGGAGATGGAGATGGAGATGGAGATGGAGAGGAAACTAATTCGCGATGGATTAAAGAAGACTTAAGAGATTGCAATTTTCGAATTTGTCCATGGTAATGATGATCAAATGGTGGTGATTCTCCATTAACATGGATTATGATCAAACTTATAAAAGAAATAAAGAAAAAAACCAGAGGTTTTGTTTGGATTCTTGTGTCCATTTCTTGCTATCTTCTTCTTTCTACGTTACAGAAAGAGGTTGTTGAAGAAAAGGCATTATATACAACAAGGGAGAGGGGGAGAGACAGAGAGAGGAAGAGAGAAACTAGGATATGGACATGGAAAGAGGAAGGTCTAACTATATGATTTGATAAGAAAATGGGACATTTGAGTTTTCATTTTTATAAAGGATCATACAAAGAAGCACATCCTCCTATTCTTTTGGTCTCTTTTTAATGTTGGGTTTCTTGATTTGTGAAAATTTTCTTCTGTGACAGAAAAGTAAGCAACTTACCAACTTCTTACTTTTGGGACCTTTACAAGTTTGACATTGTGTAAAAGGTATAATTTTTCTAAGTATAAAGCGCATCTATTCGTACGGCAGTTGGGCCTTTTGGTATTGGAGACGGAATATCTTTTAATCGAAGATTACTTCATTTTCACACAACTTAATTTGGCCGGCTTATTAAAAAGAAACAAGAGATGTTATGATGCTAGCTTCCAAATGGAGCTTAATTTTGTTCTTGTATGATGATTTTTCTCATTTTTATTGATTTTTCTTTGATTTGATACCTCTCCTTTTTAATTTGGCTTTAATGGCGGATTAGAAATTAATAAATGGTTGGAGAAGTTGGGTAGGTTACAAGGGTGGCCACGGTTCCGGAACTGCCGGTTTCGGTTCCGAAACCGAGCCGAAAATTAATGGTTTTCGTTATGGTTTAGAATCAAACGGTTCCGGTTCCTCAATGGTTCTAAAATCAACGGTTCCGGCCAGTTCTCTGGCCGATTTTTCGACAGTTTCGGACCTGTTCTGGCCAGTTTTGGACGGTTCCAACCTATTTGAGATGGAACTAGAATCGTCGGTTTCGACTGGAGCTGGAACCGCCGATTCACGGTTCTAAAACTGGTGGAACCGGAACCAAACCGATTTGGACCGGTTCTGGTTCTGGTTCCCACCGGTTCGGAACCGATGGTTCTGATTTCGAAAACCGAATCTTGGCCACCCCTAGTAGGTTATGAAAAAAGTTTTAATTTCATTCCGACAGCAAAAACAAATTTTTGGCTAAATATATTAATTTGCCCTTAAAGTTTACGTGTTTAATATCGTGACATCCTTAAGTCTGTGATGATGTATCATGGCCTTGAAGTTATCAATTTTAATAACAATTATGCCTCTTGCCACGTTGGTGAAGCATGCATGAACATCAAATGCGCAAGAGAGGTGACAGACCGTAAATGCTACCAACGTGAGCTTCTTCTTTCTCTTCATCTCTAATCAAAAAAAATATCCCTCTTTAGTATTTAATCAAACACAAGATGAGAATCTCCAAAAGCCAAAGCAAGAACGAAAATTCAGAAATCAAATAACATCAAAAAGAAAAAATTGTGCTCACGCATTCTATCAAAGCTAATCCTAAACCTTTTGTGCTAAAAAGTTCCTAGATATAGTTTATAGAAATTAAGAAATCTCTTAGGATCTATGCAAACTCTTACAACATATAAAGAAAAAGAGACATGTATTGAGAAAGAGAAATGATTTCGAAAGGGATTACTTGCAGATTGAAGATTGAAAACTCTTGCAACTTCTGTAAATTGATTTGTTTCTGTTGTGTTTAAACATAAACACAAAACACATACATATATATAAATGTGGCATTAATAAAAATTAACAATATTAGTCTACTGATTTTTAGCCTTGAGTTTGTGAAGAATTATCCCATTATCTTGATTTTTAGTAAAGATATTCTTCTTTGCAATTTATGATTTTTCTTCCTTTATAAACTCTAATTTTGCTTTCTTATTTGACTCTAATTTTATTTCCTTATTAGCCTCCCTCAAGGTGAAGACGGATTGTAAATAAAGCCACATCTTGCTGTGAAAGAAAAGAAAGGATGCTCTCGCAAAAGGCTTTGCAAGAAAATATGCAATCTGATGTGAAGATGGCACAAATCGTGTGATTATATTACCCGTGGCTACTTTTTCTCGAACAAAATGGAAATCTATTTCCATGTACTTTGTCCGAGCATGAAAAAGAGGATTAATGGACATATGTAGAGCATTAAGATTGTCACAAAATAATTGAGGAGGATGAGTTAAAGAAATAGACATTTGGATTTTGGACGCAGGGGCAACAGATCACATTGGCAACTCAATTTCTCTATTTACCTCTTATAAAAGCATTAAACCTATGAAAGTCAGATTACCTAATGACAGCTTTGTTATAGCCCATCACTTAGGAACAATACACTTTAGTAATGATTTTTACATCATTGATGTTCTCTGTGTTCCTGAATTTAGTTTTAATCTCATTTCAGTAATTAACAAAACTTATCAAAACCTTAAATTGCATCTTACACTTACAAGGTGATTATTGTTTCATTCAGGATCCCAATACCTTTAACATGATTGGATCAGCTGAAGTTAGAGATGCTTTGTATGTCTTGCAAATTTCTTCTCAATCCATTTCCTCTGAAGTTGTTTCTGTCTTCACAATTCCCTCCACAACTGTACAAACAATCTCTCCTCTTAAACTTTGGCATTTTAAATTAGGGCACCCCTCCACCACTAGACTTGCTACACTACATAAACACTTCCCTTTTGTTTCCTATAATAATGATGTAAACAAACCTTGTGATGTTTGCCAATTTACAAAATAAAAGAAGCTTTCTTTTTCTCGTAGTAATTTGTTACTAATACTGTCTTTGAATTACTACATGTTGACGTATGGGAACCTCTCTCCATGATAGGTGTCGAGACCACCAAAAATAATTCATGCTCTTCCTATTCTAAGTAATTTGTAGATAGAATGAGAAGGGTCGAACCTTAGGGACTAGTTTTGATTAAATCTTTCAATAACCAAAACATAAAATAATAAAAATAAAAATGGGGGATTTGTAGTAGAGAATGAATCAACAATTACAATAAGTAAGAATTCAATAAAAGAAACAAGTTTAAAATCAATAGGAGATGAATTCAGTCAAAAGCAATTCTTAGTACGAAATTCACTTGATTGATCATTGATTCTAAGATAACTCAATAATTTCAAGCAATAGATAAGTTATAATCTTTGAACAAGCGTCGCCAATCAATCTTTCCGTATTATTAGATTAAACAAGACAAGCGCTATGAATAGTCCCTAACTAGCAAACAATCCTAAACAAGTGATAGAGCTTAATTTGCTAATAGTAATAAAAATTAGAAAGACCCTGCCCTAATTAACAAACTCTACAAGCGAGGTTCATTTAAACTAGATTATGAATTTTTCATAATATAATCCAAAAGTCTCGTTACAATCAAATTATATTATTTGCTACTTGATTCAACTTAACTAAACAATTATGGATTTAATCTTGTTGATTAGTTATATGCTATCCTATTAAGTTGACCAACTGGCCACATTGAACAAACAATAAGATAACAATGGAGATGGAGTTTCTCATATATGCAGAAAAATAGACAAATACTGATGGAATTAAAGAAGAAAATAAATAAATTATGATCTCATAATCATAGAAGAACTTCTACTCCGAATTCAACCTTTGACTGAAAACAAAATATTTAGCCACTCATGGCCATGGAGAAAACACAAAGGAAAGTAAATCCTAAAATAAATGTTGTTTCTAAAGATGAGAAAGAGATTTCCTCCTCAATAAACTTAATGTCCTATTTATAACAAGGGAAACGAATACCAAGCTAGGAAGATAAAACCTAAATATCTTTAGAAAATTCAATAATTAAAAGAAAATCTAATATTCAAATCTGAGTATTTCCTAATCCCTTAAATGATGGATCAGCTGCTTTAAATGATTTCCTTCTAGCTAGCAAAGCATCTCAATCCCAATCAGCTCTGGATATGCCTCCCACTAAGCTTGCCCAAACTTAACTTGAAAACTTCTAGAGGGTTTTGGACCTGCTTTGGATGCATCCCCCGCTGAGCTTGCCCAAGCCTAACTTGAAAATTTCCAGGAGCATCTTAGAAGTTCAGCTCCAGCTTGGTAAAGTTCTTCAAAACTCCAAGAATTAGCCTCCAAAACTCTTTTCCAATAGCATAATCTATGGAAAATATGAAAACCAAATGAAACTTTTCATTTTATACCAAAAAGTAACCATAGATATTATTTAAACAAATAATATTTTATGCTAAATTAACTATTTAGCACTTCATCACATCTATTCATGGTCACAAATAATTTTTTGACACTAGTTGATGATTATTTAAGGCATACGTGGATGTATCTCATGAAAACTATGGCTGAAACTAGATCTTTATTGCAGAACTTTATACACCTAGTAAAAAACAATTCAACACAACAATCAAAATCATTAGAAGTGATAGTGGCCCTGAATTCCTTATGATAAATTTTTATGCCAAAAAGGGAATAGTTCACCAAACCACTTATGAGGAAACTACACAACAGAATGGCAAAGCTGAGAGAAAGCACCAGCATATTTTGAATGTCACTAGAGCCTTAATGTTTCAATCACACCTACCCCAATCATTTTGGTCTTATGCTGTCTCCCATTCTATGTACCTCATTAATAGGATTCCTAGCCCTAACCTTTAAGATAAAAGCCCTTATGAGAAATTTTATAATTCCCTACCTGATCAAACTGAACTTCGAGTATTTGGATCATTGTGCTATGCCTCCACATTATCTCACAATAGAACCAAACTCGACCTTAGAGCCAGGAAATGCATTTTCCTTGGCCTCAAAACTAGTACCAAGGGCTATATTATTATGGATTTGTCTTCAAGAGAAATTTTTCTATCTAGGAATGTCGAATTTTATGAAACCTGTTTTCCCTTTTACAAATCTACACCACCGCTTGACATACGACAATTAAATGGCATCACAAACACCATCTATTCTTTATCACATGATTTTGATTGCACTTCCCCTCCCATACTTGCACCTCAGTCATATATTACTTCACCTCCTTCATCTAGTATACCCTCCACTTTACCCCCTCCTATACAATGACCTAGACATTCTTCTTGAATAAGAAAAGCTCCCTCTTATTTGCAAGACTATTACTTAATTCTATTTCAGTAGCTTCATCATCTGCAGGTACAAAATATCCTTTGTCCTTAATTTTATCTTACAATCACCTGTCCCCTTTATTTTCTACCTTTATTCTTAATATCACTACTTATTCAGAACCCAAAACTTTTGCTCAAGCCAATAAAGATCCCAAATGGCAAGCAGTTATGGTTGCTGAGTTACATGCTCTTGAACAAACCAAAACCTGGAA